GGGGTTACTTGGCCAATCCATTTAAGTAATGAAAAGAAAACTAAGGCCCCGTGCCATTGTCACCCCGTCACCTCGCCACAACAGCTGACATAAGCGTAAGGTGAATGACGGCGAAAAGCAAGGGTGCTTCTGAAAAGACAAGGGGGAATCGGTGTGTCTTTGGACCACTGACACCATTGGATTTGCAGACCTCATGGGATGCAGCATTTAACAGTTTGTTATTGTGGATAATTATTGAATCTGTGCGCCCTGCAGTACACAATGACGGTTAAAACCGGTGAGATACGCCGAGCTGGGTGGTATCAAACAGAATTAGACAGAAAAAAAGCTCATCAGAAAGACAAACAAAGCCAGTTCCGAAAAGATTTTCGGTCAGCAGAAATTTAAATTTAAAAAATACCCAGTTAGAAATCATTAGATTCATTCTACGATTTGTTAGCAAAATAACAGCCCAATTTTGCAAGGACAAAGGCTAGTACAATAGTATAATGAAAGATGCATATAGTGAGGGTATATGTATGAAATAGATCTAAAACCGTTTAATTACTGTAAGGTTATTTAAGAGGTTGGATCTCCATACTCAACACTAATCTCTGATAGGATCGAGCTCAGTGGGTGGACAACCTCCCACAGCCCCAGCTCAAAAATGGGGGACTCAAACCAGAGTCATCAGGACCATAGTCCGCCATGACACAAACGGATCAGACGGAGCCCCAAAAACAGCTATGGACAAGGCACAAAATAAAAGCCACAACTGGGTGTATACCGCATACAGACACCATCCATGGCACACATAATTACCACAATAGTTTTAAAGTTGGGTTTCTTTTTAGTTTTTGTAAGAGTTTTCCAGAACTTGCAATACAAACCGAGGAGATAAATATAGGATGATGGCTGTTTCATAGGAAAAGAGGAGCAGACCACCCCAGATCGCCCCTTCAATCACCCACACAGCAATTTAAAAGCATTTATAGGTCAAAAGAACAATCACAACAGAACAGAATCACAATGAACAGAACAGGGGATACTTGAGAACACTTGCAAAAATTACAATATATTTATAACAGGATAACAAAAAGGCTTATTTGAGGTCAAAGGATACCATAACCGAGCCGTATTGAGTCCATATGATTGAGAGTGACGTATTCTTGCTCCGGAATACGAGAGTTGTTCACGAACGTCTGGAAAAGAGGGAAAAAAGGAATAGTATGAGTGTTTCAAACAGTTTTCGCACATCAATCATCATAAATAAAATACGAGAAAGTGTTGTCATCAAGATTGAATATGTTAAAGATTTAGTGCATGCATAGTGCAGTGGGGAAGTGAAGGGGTGAATAACAAAATGTACATCAATGCAATAACGATTATTCAGTATTGAGGAAAAGCAAGACAAAATATATAGAAATTCTGTACGGAGAATTTTTTAAAAGTCCTGCAAGTTCCAGTAGCGCTCTTTAACAACTGACAAAGAGGGTGGAGCGGGAGGAGAGATAGTTTTCGAAATTTCAGCTGCCATAATATTATATTGCTTTACCAAACACAACCCTCCCAGTCCCAAGAAAGGGAGGTTATAAATCTTGATGATCTTAATTGTATCAATGAGGGGCGTACAATCTACAGAAGGACAGAACATGGGTGGGGAATGGCTGGCATGGCAAAGATCACTCAAGTGAGGAGACAAGTTGATAGCGGACACGCGGGAGATAGAAAAAAGAGATTGGTGGTAGATTTTTTTTCTCCTAGGTTTATTAAGAGGTTTACGTCACTTGCAACACAAATAGGCAATACAAGTGTCAAAGATTAGAGGAGTTACTAGAATGTAGGGTACAAGAAGGAGAAGAGATCTATAATTACGATATATGTTTGATAGGAGAGAAGCAGAAAACTACGTCAGAGCGCCCACATCATCCAGAGAGAGAGGGGGGGGGAGAGAAAGAGATAGAAAGAAAGAGAAAGACAGAAAGAGAGAGAGAGAGAGAGAGAGAGAGAGAGAGAGAGAGAGAGAGAGAGGGGGGGGGGTGGTTGGTGGGGTGTAGAGAGGGGAGGGGGAGGATACAACAACCATAAAGTCCAGGTAGTGAGTGCGGGGTACTGACCAACGTTATCGTCCTCACAGTCCTATCGGTAGTGGACAGCAACAGTAATAACTTTATTTTCGCCGTCATCACAAGCGCATTGACACAATTAACGCCGGAACATCGCGACGGACAAATAACATTCACACATAAACCAGACAGTAAAAGTGGGACACATCATCCCCTGGTCGAACGCCTCCGACACCCGGTAGTGAAAACCCTCTTCACAGTGTACTTGTCGGGAGAGGCTGAAAAAATAGCACGACAGTAAGCTGGTCAACTTGCTCTGAGCCGAGAAAACTATATTTTCAGAAGAGCATTTTTGTTTCAAATTTCCTTCTCATAATACGCAAACCCAAAGTAGTATGCATTTTAAAATATTTCTAAGGAGACCCGGGGGGGGGGGGGGGGGTGTTGATGTTGTTGCGTTGTTGTTGCTGTTGTTGGTGGTGGTTGTTTTGTAGTTTGTTTGATTGGTTGGTTGGTGGGTTTTTGTTTGCTTTTTTTGTTTGTTTTTTGTTGTTTTTGTTTTGTTTTGTTTTGTTGGGGGGGGGGGGGCGGGTTGCTTTGGGGGTTTTGGGGTTGGAGGTTTTTTTCAGCATTTCTAATTTTGATTTCAACAAATATCTCAGGAGCGCAGGCAACTGAAACCACAGATAAAGAAACTGTAATAAATCATTTTAATCCAAATTTTGGGTTCAGTACATCTGAACAGCTGGCCGACAAGCAGTTTGTAACAGCGCAACGAAGTTAAAATTGTGTTTAGTAATTGGCCCCAGTTGGTTAAAGCATAGACTGCAAGAGCCGCAATTTTAAGTAATGTGAGCCTATACTAAAGCTGAAAAACGGAGGGGGGTCGGGAGCATACATAAGCGTAAAATTATTACATGGGTTATTTAGCCTTTTTTTCACAAGAGCAAAGACTCAAAACGCAGTAAGTTTACATACGCCATCTAACACTTGACTTGATGATATTGGAACAAAAGGGCGCCTGTAGTGGTACTGGTCTTTTTCTGAGTTGAGTACAGACTTCCCTAAGGCCGAAGGTAACCGAAACCTATTAGTGAACCTCCCCATCCCCAACAAGTACCCTGTAAAAAGGGTCTTCGCCTTTCTCCCCAGCCCCTAAAACTTCCGGGCCCGAGAAAAGAAGGTACGGTAGCATAATGCAGAATCTATTACACTGTCTCTGGCCTCAGGGCAGACACACACACACAAACCAGGCGGGCGAGAGGATGCGACACCTTGGCTGGGATAGGAGACGGTCTGAACGTCCGACAGACGGACGGCGGAGGATGGTAATACAGGCTGCTAGTGGCTTCTTCGCGTCATACACACAGGATAATCTCAGTGCTATATCGTTTCTGCCTTTTTGTCCTTATCCTGCACTTCATCTCTTCTTTGGCACCTACCGGCGTTTGTGGTGTAGCGGTTATGAGTTTATTATTATTAATAATAATAATAATAATAATAATAATAATAATAATAATAATAATAATAATAATAATAATAACAGACAGACAGACAGACAGACAGACAGACAGACAGACAGACAGACAGACAGACAGACAGACAGACAGACAGACAGACAGATAGATAGATAGATAGATAGTATTTGTATAGCGCAAATGTCCGCTCAACAGTAAGCTCTATGCGCTTTACAATGGATTATATGATTACCCCAGCAGGCCTGATAGCATTCTGAAGCAATGTCAACTTCCTGGAAATTAAAATTCAAAAGCCGATCGCTGGGCCTTATAATGTGCTCGCTCCACCTTCAAAGTTGACCTCTTTGCGCCCTGGCGAGAGAATTTGTCGGACCTCAAACCCACACAGGCAAAATTCATGGCGATCGAATTTTTTTCTTTCTTTAGCAGCATTTTCATCCCCGACTCCAGGTTTCACAAACTACAGCAACACCGAACTCTCTTCGATCAACCCTCCTCCGAGAAGCCCGGGACACCACTGAAACATTTTTTTCTCACCAAATCGTTCAGGGCGCTCGGGACCAAAAGGGGGCTGCCATCTCTGACTAAACAACAAAGTGTCGCGAGCACATGAGAAGATGACCTTGACCCTTAGCCTTGGCCCTTCCCGTCATGCCAGCAGAAGGTCCAGTTTCCTCACCGTACACAGATTGATCCCAAGACAAACGCCAACGACAATCGGGAACGCCTGGGGCCAAACACAAGCACGCCGGCAAACTGATGGAAACGAAAGTCAGTTAAGGAGTCTGTTTTACGTCGCTGTCGCCATGGACTGATCAGGTACACGCTGTACCACTATTGCCTTTGTAAGACGTTTTATTTTCTTTGTTTTAGTAAGCGTTTTGTGGCACTTGCAACACTACATACAAGAGAGAAACAAACACCAAAAAGAAGGAGAAATAATGACGATAGATGTTTGATAGGGGGGAAAGGAGTCAATTACACCAGAATGCTTGCCAACAGAGTCACTGTATCACTTTTCCTTCTTTTTTTTTTTTGGGGGGGGGGGGTGAATAGAAGCACATAGCACAATATTGGTCATTTAGAGCTTGGGGGGGGGGGGTAAGACAGACAGACAAGAGTAACTGAGGGAACGTAAAGAATGACCTACCAGAGGCGCCCTCCAACCACCTGCACGGTGTCTCTTTGACGTCCCAAGTGACAACAAACATAAAAACAATTAATGGCGATTTAGGTTTCGTTGTTTTTAATGTTACGGCACTCACAACACAAAAAGGTAATTTTGGTGCCGATGATTAGAGTTGTTACTTAGAGAGTAGCATACAAAGAAGAGAGAGAGAGAGAGAGAGAGAGAGAGAGAGAGAGAGAGAGAGAGAGAGATAAGGACGATTGATGTGGGGACTTTGATGAACTTATACTTTGTATTTGAAAAGACCATTCAATTGAATTGAAGGCTAGATCTATATGTCATATGCACATCTAAATGTTACGTATCTTTTCTCCTTCTCTGCCGTAAATGCAAGCACGACGTATGGGAAAAAAACAGAATTCTTCAAAAGTTGAGTGAAACATCACATGCTTTTACCATATGTCCAAACTTGTACACAACAGATATCAACCAAAGAGAGGTTTCACGGACAAGAAAATGATTTGGGAAAAGACCAATTGACAAGTTTTAAAAAACCAAAGAACATTCACGGAAAGATACTCACGGGCAAAACAACCTCAAAGAACAGAACATATTTTAAGTCAATGAAGGACGATACAACGCCCCCTAGAAACGAAATAGTGAGCACAACTGAAAGCAAGACGCGTTCTTTTAAAAATAAGCTGACTTGGACCTTTTAACATGAGATTCTTCACCCATCACCCAGACGAGTGGACTTTATACAATGCCAATAAGGAGGATTTACTGGGGGTATTTACTCTTGTAAGAGGTCAAATATCCAAACAGCTGAAAGACGAGCTGGTCTACAGGTCAAATGGCACGAGACCGGGGCCGTGACCTGTGATGACCTCCGTGACGTTTCGGTCCTCCGACCTGTGGTCAGTGGCATGCCAGGCATGTGCCGTATCACCGGACACACAGCAGTGACCTTTCCCCGTGCACCAGGAACAGGCTGGAACACCAAGCCCAGGTAGCTTTGGTTATCACACCAGGGTAACAAGCCGGACCTTGGACTATGGTCAGTCACGAAAATAATTAAGTCGTCAACAGAGCCATATGGGGTCTGCCATGATAAAAGTATTTGGTTAGTTTCTTTCTTTTTTCTTTGATTTCCTGAATGGTTGGTTGGCTGATTGGTATGTTGGCTGATCGGTTAGCTGATTGGTTGGTTCCCTCGTTGGTTGGTTGGTTGGTTGGTTGGTTGGTTGGTTGGTTGGTTGGTTGGTTGGTTGGCAGGTTGGCAAGACGACCGGTCACACTTCATAGGAAATGCAATGAAGGCAAACAAATAAAAGAGGGATAGAAAAGAAGCAGGACATACCAATGGCGCCGCCCTCCAAACCACAGGCTTGGTCTTTTCTGTGTCCAGTAGAGCATAAGATCCGAGCAAATAAAGCAACAGAAATTTCCCTGACCTTTTTCTCCACAAAAATAGAGATCGCTGGATTTCTCAAGAGCTTTTTGCAGTCTGGCACACCACCAAATAGTCCATCGAAAAGTTCATACATGGATAATAGCACTTCAGTGACATCTGAGTACCAAAGTTCAAACTTACAAAAGCTTAGTTAAAAACAATCACAAAAAAGGATTTTCGTTTTGGCATATAATGATAAAAGTAAAATAAATACCAATCAGTCGGGCTCAATAAAAATCCAGAATTTTTTTAATCAGTTCTTAAAACACGTGCCAAGCGGAAACGCTACTGCTCAATGATCTGGCTACCAAAGACACCTTCCGTCCGGTCAATCTTATCTCGCCACATTCCTGAGGTCTTCACGAAACACGCTACAAGAATAAGTGTTATCAGTCTGAAGACTCCCCGCGCCCGCCTCTCTGGGCCAGCCCCAAACACGGCTACAAACGGACAAACACACGCGAACAAACACACACAGGCACAAACAGGAGATCAGAAGAGTGCCGTAATCCCCGCTACACATGCGACAGACACGACGGCACGCGGCGTTAAATATATATAGGACATAAAGGACCTTGGGCGAACAACTGCGGGATTACTGCTACGTCTCCGGGGGATTATCAATACGTAATTACACGTTTTTGGGGGAATCAAAGCCGGGTGTTCGCGAGCATTACAATCGTAAGTCTGCGCGTGACATCGTAGAGTTCCGAACCACAGCACGTCGTCCACAGGGCGAATAGTCCTCACCTGTTACCTCGAGACACACACAATTTCTGTAAATAAGTATCGCCCCAGATTTGGGACAATTCACACCATATTAGTCTATACTCTAATTATCAGGCAAGTAGCTTCGACCCTGACCATTAGTGTCAATACTAGATGAGTGCGTATACACGCCCCCCCCCCCCTAAAAATAGGATGGTTGAAATTGGTTATACTGTATATCCACCATCAATGTAAATCGAAAGCAAATCCCAAACTTGCAATATAACGAGCTTGGATACCACACTACGGACGCCATTTCTAGCTAACTAAGGAAGCAGAAAAAAGACGCTGCTGTTCACAAGACAAGTTGTACCACAGACCAGGACGTGACAAAAATACTTCTCAGACTTGACCTCAAGAACCAATTTTTAAAAAGCCATGGAAAACGATAAAGTCACCATTGTGCAAACTCCTACTCGAGGCTTACAGCAATAATAATCTGATCCTGTCTTCAATGAAAGATGTTTTCTCTGGCAATAAAAGCTCTTATCAACACGTAACTTTATTGCTGTTTTGGAAGACAGAACCTTGCACTTATAAAACGCTTAAAAATACATGAAGTATCCACAAAAAAGACAGACATCCTCCTCCATTCCCAGGCCCGGCGCACGAGCGTGCACATATCTCATGTTTTCGTAGTTTCTTTATTTGAATCACACCAAACAACAACAGAAGAAAGCTGAGGGATTTTCTCTTAAGTTTTATTAGGAGGTTTATGGCAACAACAGAATATAGATTTTTTTAAACCTGCCGCTGACACGCTCAGTTCGACTCCCGTGTTGGGAGGATTTTCTTTTGTATCTCGGTCTTTCTGCTATGGCCTTGTTGTATCATCCTTCTCATCATGGGTTAGAGGCTAGAGGTGACATACGGTATCGAAGCCCGCCTCCTAAATAACCTAAATTGAGTCGATCAGGCGTGTTAAACACCTAAATAGTGATAACCAGACTACGCAATACTACAGTTAGTGACTTACCCCATTGGTGGTGCTCAGATCTTTCACTTTGAACCGGTTCAGGTAGAGGTCAAAGGTCAGGACGGCGTGTCGTTTGTCCACGGACTGCGACTGAAAAGAAAAGAAAATATAAGCGGCATGAAACAATCACGTTTCTGGGTTTAAACACACACACACACACACACACACACACACACACACACACACACACACACACACACACACACACACACACACACGCTCGCGCGCGCACACAAACACCCTCATTTTGCGTACGCGTCGCACATTCTTAGGTGTAAAGTTTAGATATCTTAGATGAACCCCTTCTTTGCTAAGCTTATTCTGTAAACCTATCTAGGGCCAGTGACTGGCTCAGGCGGTACAACGAAAGGGTTAATTACTAGTGATTATTTCTGCATCAATGTACCACAGGACTTTACACAGGGGCGGCTCGTGGGTCTAAAAAGTGGGCTCGCACAATTAAGCTATCGCAGGTTAAAGATAGTTAAGTGCATAGTAAATGGCATGGTGTATAATTTTAAGACATTTCGGTTGGTGAGGACCTAATGCTTTTACTTTCATTCGTTTTATTGTCGATTTGATTCCTAAAACTATATGTATTTGTTAGCTAAAAATAAATTCCGCTCCACTTGCCTTGGAATCGAACACTCAAGTAATAACACTTTCACCCCTCCGCTAAAGCACAATTCAAAGTCACAACTCAACAGACGGTGACCTAACTCTTCGTTCACCCCGCTCAAGTTCACGGTCACAGAGTCGGGGCGAGACCTAAATTTAAAAAGAGTGCCAAGAGAATTCATCAATCCCAATTCACTTAAGCACTCCGCTGGATTGCTCCGAGGCTCACACTAATTTATAGGCAATATAGAGTACAGTCTGAGATTGCGTTTATTTTTTTAGATCGCCTTGCGTTTGGTTGTGTCAACGCTCGCTAACGTTAGAGAACGTATACACGTTCTCTAATGTTAGTAGAGAACCTAAAAATAGCTGGCTCGCTCTGTCTAACACGGAAACGAATGCTGCTACCACAGTGTTCCCACTTTATTTTCGAAAACTATACTTTCGCGAAAGAGTTCTTTCTCACGAAAATAAAACGCTCGCGAAAGACGAGCTGTCTACAGTATCTTGCCTTTAAAGCAACGTTAAAACCCTACTAACCAACCAACACATTCTTTCATCTCATCAAGTCGA